CGATTTTGAGCCATATCATTCAAGGTCTCTAACCATCGGTGACATACGTCTCGCGGACCCCAACCAGGTAGCCTACATCTACCAACATGACTCAATCCACTTGTCAGTGAATTCATGTGTTTGTGCCATGTTTTGGTTTGGCCGCCCCTAGCTTTCTTCCAACCTACTCCTACACCACAAAACATAGCTCATCGAGGCAGTCGGTGGTCGGGCATTCGTAACACATGTCCCATATGCTAACAATCTCTCCTCATACAGCTTAGTGCATAAATTTCAATTAAAACTGAGTTACATTCAAGATTAAACACATTTTTATTATCTACTTTTCAATTATGTGTTCATCAGATAAAAAAATAGTTATGTGTATGAACTAACCGGATTCATATACACATGACAATTAGTGTGTCAGTTTTTTTTAATATTAATTCTTAGCAATACTAAAGTAAAATTCGTAAATAACTAAACATTGCATAAAGCTGGGCATAAAGTAACACTACTCTGTATTTTCGTGTAGCAAATTAAAGAAAGTGACTATTGAATGTGATGATAAAAACATAATTAAAATGTACTTTAGATAGTCTTATTTTAGATGATTAAGGATTCATTCCCATTGTGAAAATTAGAACAACACAGATATAAGCGAACAATATTGTTGTTTTCGATTAGATCGTCATCAGGCTTTATATTCTCTAATATACATGAATATTTATATGAAAATGTTCGAAAGATGTGGCTAGCGATACTCTGCAGAATTGTTTAATGAAAGCAGTCAATAGAACATTCTATGCAGGCAAACTTGCGTTGACTTTCTCAAGTCGACTAGCAATGTCTACCCAAACGAAGGATAAGTTACCTGATTTGGCCTCCTCTATGTGCATTTACAAATTCAGCTACTGCTGTGGTGATAGCTATGTCGGGCGTACTACCACCAGGCAACGTAACCAATGAATGAGTGAACATCTCCAAGCATGGTTTATGAAGGGCTAGATAAAAGCAATCCATAGTTCTACCCTGGCACATCTGGTTGACAGTGGTCATATTGTAGATAAGTCTCGATCTTTTCGGGTGATCTATCACTATACCTCCATCATTTCCCAACGGAGTTCGATCCCGTCTCCTACAGATAGCAGAAGCTATAGGAATTCGTACATTCAACCCCAATTTATTTGTTCGGAAGAAATTCGTGACTTCCCTATCCCTTCCACGGTCGGATACGACTTAACCAACGTTTTAAATAATTTTTTGTATTTTTAATTTTGTTATTATTAGCATTATTTTCACATCTTGTATTTGTTGGTAATTTTCAGCCTCTTCCCGTTTATATTCTTCACTATCGAATTACGTACATACTTCTTATTACGTAATGGTTTTAATTACTCTGTAATGATTATTTTAAGTCTATTTATCTACGTCTGACCTACTATTGACGAAAACTTTTATTTTTCTTATTAATTACTATCAGTAGACCTGTCTTCCTACTATCCACTTGTACTTTTCCGCCTATTATGTGTATAGTAACGCAATCTATTGCATTTCATTGTGATTATTGATCCATAGATTGCCTTGATTGGTTCTAACATTTTCATCCATAAATATTCATGTATATTATAGAGAGTAAAGTATGACGACGATCTAGCTGAAAAAACAATATTGTTCGCTTATATCTGTTCTAATTGTTCTAATTATTTTTGATTATTGATTTTTTTTATAGACTTTGCAAACATGATTCTTACTTATTAAAATATTCCTCTAGTTTAACACAATGTTAATCATTCAATTCAATTTGAAATAGTTCAGATTATCTCGTCGGTGATATTTTTGAACTGAAATTGGACCTGTCTTGATTGATCATATGGGGGATACTGTGAGGATTGTATCCAAAACATTTCAGACTGAATTAAATATATATTACCTATTGAACAAATCAGTGGTTAACAATGAACTCAATAGCTGAATGGGTAATGCGATGGCGTGTAAATAGCAAGGTATTGGGTTTGAGTCGCGAAGTGAACATCAACTCTAAGATAAAGCAAAGAGTATTTAACTGATTTATTTTATGTTTAATAAGTATATTTTAATGAAATAACCAGATCTATAATACTGCGGTGCGCGCTACTTATAAGTAGTATATGACGCGAGTGTAAACGTAATGTCTGGCAGCAGAAGATGGGGGAAGATCAACAAAGGAAGACTGGGAACATAATGGAATTTGTATGAAACGCATGAATAGTGAAATGTCAGACAATGGATTGAAGATTCGCAAATTAACCGTTTATGATATGGTTTTCCTATTTTACTGAGTAACTCTGTAATTTGCGATGAATAATACAATTCGGTTGCCCTCACCTGTGTTCTCCTTCACTACAATAACCTTTAGATCATGTGTCATTCACTGCTGATAATCATATATATCTTAGTTGTGAACTGTAACAATTTTTTTAAGAAGTCCATGATTCTGATATACTTCACTGAGTGAAAATGAGTTTCTTTCAAGATTAGTGAAGTTATGATTTAAAGTTGTAACTTCAAAATATTCGAACGATAAAAGAAATGAGATAGCTCTTTCACCTGACTGATCGTCATAATCAGCTAGAGTACTTTTCACTTGTCATCTTTGAGCTGTATATATATATATATATATATGACTGAATTAAGCAAATGTTTAGACTAAGTAATCGAACATTGTTGTGATCTCCTCTCAAACACTAAATTTTCCTTGTTTAATCACATCTTGAGGTAGTATGACTGAATTCAAATTGCTTCAAAGTGGCTATCAATGATTATCAGTGGTCTGTTCCTTATAAAATAATGTTAAATTATCAAATGTCTACAGACAGTTTATTCATTCAAACTTTCGAATTCAGCTTAAGTTATTGATCTGAATATTTTTTAATTCTATGAGATCAATGCTAACGAAACGATTTTTAAATAGTGAATAATCAATTACACTAAATCAATGAGGAGAAATTTGACTATTAAAGGAAATTAAAAATATAATCATCATTTATAATAGTTTCTTGTCTGTTGATACTATTGAATATTGAACCATTTATTTGTTTGATTAATTAGTTAGCGAAAATTAGTTTAATGTAGATTAATTAGTCCAGTCAGTCCTAATCAATATAAATGTCTGAGATAAATTTAATGTTGAACCAAGCTGGCATACTAAATTATAACAAAACAAGATAATATGAACACAATGAATAAATAGTGAACAAGTTGAAATAATGCTGTAGTAATAATGATAAGAAGAAGAAAGACTAAGCATTGAGAATATAGTTTGAATAGACGAAATGAAAAAGTATGTATGAAGGAATAATGGGATTCGACATCTGCACAAAGGCAAATGATAAAAATACATTTGTACTACTTTGGCCAATTTTAAGCAGTGTTACACACCTACTATAGTCATTGGTGTTGATTCTCGTACGGACCTCAACTAAATAGTCTACATATACCTACATCTCTAAATCAATCAGCAGCAACGTAGAACTTCGTAAGTACATCAGTTCAAGTTGCCATACGACATTAGCACAGAGGGGGAATTGTCAATTCCAATCCCAAAATAGTACAGGTAGTAAGAGTATTAGCAGTAATGGCAAAGGGTTCGAAGATATAATTCAAGAAGTAGAATCTAGTGAAATAAACTTAGAAGGAAAAAAGACAAAGTGATGAGGAATTCAGAGGATTAGAATTTGAGAGAACCTACAGAATGAGTGCACCTGCGCCATTGCAAATGCTTTTAAGTCATGTCATTCAGGGTCTTTAACCATGGATTACTATCATCTCACGGGCCCAAACCAGGTAGTCGACACCTACGGACATGACTCAATCCACTTGTTAGTGACTTCATGGATTTCTGCCATGCTTTGGTTTGGGTACCCCTAGCTTTCGTCCAGGCTGTTCTTATATCGCAAAATATAGCTCGACAAGGCAGTCGATGGTCAGTCAGTCAGTCAGATGCAACGTAGAACTTCGTACGTAAGTGCATCAGTTCATGTCGCCATACCACATCAGCACAGAGATATAATTGTCAATTCAAATCCAATAGAATAGGTAATAAAGGTATTACAAGTAATCGGAGAGGTTAGGATTAGAAGATATTATTCAAGAAGTATGATTTAATGAGAAAAGTTTAGAAAGTCAAAACTAGAGTTGTTGAAGAACCCACAAGATTAGGATTTGAGAGAACACAAAGCATAAATGCACCGGCGCCATTGCGAACGATTTCGAGCCATGTCATTCAAGGTCTCTAACCATCGATTATTATCATCGCAGTCGATGGTCGGGAATTCGTAACACATGTCCCAACCACTTCAACTGATGAAGTTTCATTACTTCATCTATTGACCTGCCATCCTTACCTAGCACCCGTTTCCTAACGACAGCATTGCTTACTCGGTTGTCCCAGGATATACGAGCAATACTTCGAAGACAAGCAACCTACGAATATCTTCTACTCTCACTGCCCATGTTTCACTGCCATAAAGTAAGACGGAGCGAACTACTACGCAGTACACTAGCCCTTTGGTTGGCAAACGGATATCTCGCCTTCGCTATAAGTGATGCAGGTTGGCAAATGTCAATCGAGCCTTCTGTATCCGTGCCGAGATTGCGTCAGTCACCAGGTAGGTCATCAGCATTGATGAGACTCCCAAAGATAAGTGAAGCGGTCTACACGCTCTATTATACTTCACTCCCTATCACTAGTTCAGGTGTCGACGCAAGCCAATCTTGAAGCAACATTTTTCATTTCAACGGGATGAATCGCATCCCCAACATGCTTGTACTGTTTGTTGCTTATGGTGGTCGAAAGACTCTGTATTTTGTCAACCTCTTCACCAAATAGAACTATGTCATCAGCATATTCTAAGTCAACCAATGAATCTCTTGGTAGAAAGTCTACGCCTTGACTGTAAAGATTAGTTTTCAACATGAAATTATAATTCATCATCATTAATAATAAACACTAAATATGAAATACATTATAATAATAATACCTGAAGAAATCCCATGACATAATTCATCTTCATCAACATCATGATTATGCAATATAAATGTTTCAGTTAATGATTTGCCAACTTCATCAGCAAATGATACGGATTTATTCAATTTCATTGTTGATGAACGTGTAATTGATTTATTATTCATATTTACAGATGTTGTATTATTTACAGAAGAATGTATATGTAATAATCTAGATGTATCATCTGCTTCAATTGAATTGGTAATATTAATTACTAAAGGTAATTCTTCATTATTCAATTCATTTTTTATACAATTAGTATTTTGATTATCAATAGATGATGAGAATTCAATTAGATTTTCATGTGTATTTACTATGACTAATAATTCATTTGTAGTTGTAAGACAATTATTATTATTATTATTATTATCTTCAGATTGTTGATAAATTGTACATGTATTTTCATTATTGTTACTCGTATTCAATTCATTAGAATTGTTCATGTCTAAATTTGCATTTGTTGAGATAGTTTGTATTTCTTCGGATGATTCTAACAGTGTTGTCACAGAACTAGTTAAATGTGGTTCATTCTCTTTAGTGTCATTTTCATTTGATGTATTTTCAATATCTTGTAAAAGTATTGTAGATATATTGGCTTCTGGTAAATATAAACCACTTTCACTATTACAATGACGACGTTTATGTCGTAGACTACTACAATAGGCACCCAATGTATTCCAATTCGAAGCATAATGATCTGTAATTGTAGTCGCTTCATTGACACATGTTAAACTAGCATTTAATGAATTAGAATAGGAGAAAGTTTTAAATACAGGATAATGACTACGTCTTCTAGCTTTTCGTTCTAATTGAGATTGTGCAAAAATATAATCTGTAAATGAACATTGATTTGTATGATCAACACGTTCAGTAGTATCAGTTTGACGTGATTTACACATAATGAAATGTAATAAACGGCTTAATCCTAGCAATTGTGTTAAACTAAGCAAATTTGTAGCAGTCTGATGATGATGATGGTGATTATTCGATGTTTCTGTGAAAATATCTGTTTTAGAAAAATCTTGCATATCCAAAATCATACTATTCATAAATGATGTTTTTAATGATCTTTCATCAAGATCTATAGTTAGATTACTATTGGACATCCAAAATGGATATGATAAATTTTTGAATTCACTGTCCCAATTGTGTTCACTCAAACTATCGCTGGTTTTTAATGAGTATCCACAATGATTTAATTCTCCAAGGGATCCAGTACAGTTGTTTCCTAAATTGTACCACTGACCAACAAGAGTTCCCATTTCATTTGTAAACCATAAAATAGTCGATCATGGAAAAGTTATATAAGTATGAAATTATTACATTGAACATCTTAGACGTGATCTTTATTCTAAATGACATTCATAAGTATCATCAACTTCCGCAGTAAGTATACACATACATGAAAATTGCACGAAACTTGATTAAAAAACAATCCATGCAGTTAAGAAAGTCATTTCGATTGGTTAGTACAATTTACTGTTCTATCATTTTGAAATAATGACCTACTTTCATATAATTGGTGGAAATAATTCATCCATTTTATCCAATCCCAGTTTAGTATTAAAAGTAGTAGTATTGTATATGACCTTCATTTATGTATGTTTGTCACACCATCTTTGGTTGTACGATCATTATCAGACATATACAAACGAGATAAAACGTTCACATTCTCTTCAGTTGATTATATAAATGTACGCTTATGTAAAATCGTCAATGCAAAATAAGGGCGTAGTTTTATAATTCTTTTTGTCATAGGATAATTGAAACCACAATTGTCAGTTGATGATCAAAAATAATTTTTCTAATCCAATGAGTAGAGATAAATTTATTCAGTAGTATATCGTATTTCTTTCACAAAAAATAGCAGTACTTATATGAAGTTTTCTTAAGGCGCTAACATGAGGTAGTACACATTTCGGAACATCAGACTATCATTGTACAACTTCGAATTTGACGTAATTCACAGTAGGCTGTCTGAACATTTAGGCTATTTATTTTACAATTGTAAAAGTATTCACAGAAGGATTCTTATTTTAGAAGTGGGTGTGATCAGCGTTTTGTGAAAATTCATATTACCTCCTGTTACATGACTTAATATCGGAAAAAGCTAGTTAAAACATTGGAGTAGGTGGCATGTTGTCGACTTTATTCGTTCATGAAGAAGTAGGAGGAAAATATGTTTGATATTAAACATGAAATATACACTAGATAAATGATACGTTCGTCACTTAGTCGATAAACGCGAACGAGACAATAAACCAGCGTCCAGGTAGGCTACCTTGAATCCCAAGCTGAAGCAAAAAGGCTTTGTAAGCGTAGAAAGTATATTCTACAAACACCCAGCAATCACAGTACAATCAAGCATACAACTCTCGTTTATTTATACAACATAGAAACGTCCTTGAGACAGTTAAGAAAATAGCACACTAAAATACACAGCAGCCAATCACAGCCATGGATTTTGCTGGTGGAAATTGAAATCTCAAGGTCAACTGATCAGCCCATGCTGGCAAACGTGAAAACCAAAATAAGGCATTTATCAAGCGAATTTTGGGGATCTAACATCCCCAACAATAAAAATGTATATTATAACAGTTTTTGGAAACATCTAGAACTGAAGATTGTTGGCAGGTGTTGTACAGGTTAAACTAATTGAGGAAACGTTGTTCTGTACAATTTATTGTGATACTGAATAATTACTGTTGAGAATTCTATCAAAGAACTTATAGAATGGGATAAAATAATCGAAATGAGCTTGAGTAAAAGGATTATCGCGTAAGTTTCGTCTCATTTCTGACTCATCAGTTGATGATTCTAGATCCTAGTGTCACTGTTCACATTGAGGCATAAACTCAACACCTCTCATTTCAAACGCCAACCTGTTATCTATTGAACTAGTGAGTCTAGAACACCACTAATTTGTTCATTGAGTACAATTTTGATATCATCAGTACTAGGCATCTGAACATATGTCTCTGTGGTTGACGTACTATCAACAACCATGTCCACTATCCAAGTAAACATTACCAAGAACAAATTACCATTTTGTTAATAAGTACTTTAAGTGACCAATCAAGAACAGTTTTCAAGGTGAATATTTAGTACATTTCAATGTTTATATATTCAATGAACTATAGTCCATAAAGGTCATTTTTTTTCAGCAGATGAATTCAATTTTCCGAATAAAATGAGAAACAAGAGAAGATTTTTTGATTGATCTGTTGTTTTTCTTTTAGTTCATAAACTTGCCGATTTATTGATCAATCATTATAGTGATTTCCTCCTACTAAATGACGTGACCTTCGGAAAATAATAGGTGTGAATATTTGTTGAGAACTATTTGATATGACAAAAGTAGATAGAAATTTTCAGTATAACGTTTTCAGTTTATAAGGTAAATACCTGAGTTATTTACCTGTAGCTACATCGTCTTTTGAAAATGTTTAGACTAAAGCTCTATTCAAGATTTTGACAATCAACAGTGAATCATTATTTTAAATTCTAAAAAGCCCTATATCGAATTCCTTATAGTTTTCTCATTCTGTAAAATCTAAGTTGGAAACGATTACAATAGCTTAATGGGTTAGGATTAGATAATTTGGAATACTTTAGATGCTACCTGACCTTTGTCGATCGTGTGAAATAAATCTCAGGTATGTACCATGGTTCTGGTGACCAATCGCATTATGAAGACGTCAACATCTGGAGGTAAGCTTGGGATACAGTGAACAACTAGGATTCAGCTGCACAATCTGGACTTCGGAGATGATCTGGCTCTTCTATCGCACACGCAACAACAAATGCAAGAGAAGACGACCATTGTAGCAGCAGCCTCAGCAGCAGTATGTCTCAATATACATAAAGGAAAAGCAAAATTCTCCGATGCAACACAACATGCACTAACCAAATCACACTTGATGGAGATGCCTTGGAGGACGTAAAATCCTTTACATATCTGAGCAGCATCATCGATGAGTAAACTGTATCTGATGCAGATATGAAGGTCCGGATCAGCAAAGCAACAGTAGGATCTTTACAATTGATGAACATCTAGAACTCAAAACTAATGTTAACCAACACTGAAGTCAGAATATTCAATACAAATGCCAAGATAGTTCTACTGTATGGAGCGGAAACTTGGAGAACTACCAAAAAGCCATTATCCAGAAGAACAAGTATTTATGATTTATTCTGATCAGTTGGCCAGACAACATCAGCAACAACCTAGTGTAGGGGAGAACAAACCAGATCCCGGTTGAGGGAGAAATTAAGAAAAGTTGCTAGAAGTGGATAGAATACACATTTAGGAAACCACCCAACTGCATCACAAGATAAGCCCTCACATGGGACCCTTAAGGAAAAGGGAAAAGAGGAAGGCCAAGAAACACATAATGCCGAGAAATGGAAACAGATATGAAAAGAATGAAAAGGAATTAGACAGAACTGCAAAGGGGAGCCCAGGACAGAATAGGTTGGAGAATACTGGTCGGCGGCCTATACTCTTCTACTGGGCGTAACAAAAGGAAGTTTAACACTGTCAGATATTAGTTATTATTTTTCAATCAACTACTGTCAATTTCTAAAACAATATTACTCTACGTGTGTTTGAAAGGCTTTTTTGATTGAAAACATCATTACCATTATGCTTTTACTACAAGTTCTGCTATTACACTGTCTATCAACTTCCCTAAATAGTCACAATGTTAGTTAGCTAATACAGGAGGATATGAATATGTTGAGAAATGTACATAGTGTAATTCCGAACAAGAAAGAACTTGTCAATTGTACAATCTAGCGATTAGATGTAACATTTACCATTTCATAATATAAACAAAGATTAATTTGATTACTGATTATACTTTCCATCTTATCATATTTGTATGTACACATTTGAAATCATCAACTAACGAATCATTGTTAGACCACCATTAGAAACCTGGAAGCACTGGACGGTGGCCGTTTCGTCCTAGTATGAGTTTTTACCTTAATTACTACTATTGAAAAATCATTGAAGAGAAGTATTTAATTGCATTGGACAAGTGTTTTATTGACTTGATTATTAGATATTAACAAATGTCAACTAATACCAAAGTCACAATTTTCAATACACATGTCAAAACAGTTGTAATGTATTGGGGTGGAAACTTGGAGAACTACGAAAGTTATGATCAGTTGTTTACACAAGACAGTGGGGGATCCGTTGACCAAACACTATCTCAACAACAACCTACTGTGGGAGAGAATAAGTCAGATTCCAGCTGATGAAGAAATCAGGAAGAAGAGCTGGAAGTGAATAGGACATTTTACTTACTTACTTACCCCTGTTACCCCCGATGGAGCATAGGCCGCTCACCAGTTTTCGCCAACCAACTCTGTCCTGGGCTTCCCTCTCCAGTTCTGTCCACCGTTTGTTCATTCCTCTCATATCTTTCTCTATTTCTCGGCGTAATGTATTCTTTGGCCTTCCTCTTTTCCTTTCAACTTGAGGGTTCCATGTGACGGCTTGTCTTGTGACGTAGTTGGGTGCTTTTCATAGTGTGTGTCCTATCCATTTCCACCGCCTCTTCCTGATTTCCTCCTCCATTGGAATCTGGTTTGTTCTCTCCCACAGTACGTTGTTGCTGATAGTGTCTGGCCAACGAATCCAAAGTATTTTGCGTAGACAACTGTTAATAAATACTTGTATCTTGTGGATGATGGCTTTGGTAGTTCTCCAAGTTTCCGCTCCATACAGTAGAACTGTTTTGACATTTGTATTGAAAATCCTGATTTTGATTTTGGTTGAAAGTTGTTTGGAGTTCCAGATATTTTTCATAGGTTGAGGAAAACACCTAACTGCATCACAAGACTAGCCCTTACTTTGAATCTTCAAGGCCAAAGGAAAAGAGAAAGACAAAAGAGCACATTATCCTGAGAAATGAAGACAGATATGAGAAGAATGAACAATAAGTGGACAGAACCTAGAAAGGAAGGCTGAGGACAGATTGGGTTGGAGAATGCTGGTAAGCGGCAAATGCTCCACTGGGGGTAACAGGCTCAAGTAAGTAAGCAATTAAGTAATTAAGTAAGTAAGTAGGTAAGTGATATCATGCGTTTTTTTACGATTTTCTGAATCGAGAATCACCGAAGCTGATACAGACATCGATTAGAAATGTGAAAGAATAAGTGACAGTGTGAATATGAATAAAAGACATTAGGAGTGTGGTGCGAGCTACTTTTAAGCAGTATATGACGTGAGTGTCAACGTAATGTCTGGCAGCAGAAGATGGGGGAAGATCAAGAAAGGAAGAGTGGGAACACAATAGAATTTGTATGAAACGCATGAATAGTGACAATGGATTGATGTTTTGCAACAGGAACAGTCCAGTTCGATATGATGGACTGATATTTTGCAAATGAACGATTTACGATATGGTTTTCCGATTTTACTGAGTAACTCTGTAATTTTCGTTAATACAATTCGGTTGCCCCACCTGTGTTCTCGTTCACTACAGGA